AAATCAGATTAAAGTGTACCTCCACTGCTTTTGCATGAGCGCTACATGCGTTCACCTAGACAATCATAATCATTTTCTTTCTTGGTGTTTAAATCACTCCTAGATGGGTTTGTGATAAATTTTTTTTTTTTTTTTTTTTGTTTCATAAATACCCCAATTTTTATTATAACAAAATCACATTGCAATATTTGAACCAGAAAAAGCCCAATACCAACAAGCTGAACAGAGTCATATCGCCACCTACAGCAGTGGAGTCCCACATACTTAGGTCAATAAATCGATTCCCCTCCTGTGCGTGTATACTGGGACAAGGATAGTAATCCCATTAAATGGCATAGTCGAGCTTTAACCATAGCTCAACTTAGCTGTGCATGTAAACGTACTGACTGTGGAAATTTAACTCCAGACTTATTGATCAACATTATTGCACATAAACTGTTTGTTCCTAAGTTGCATGTTGATTTGGTCTCCCCTGCCTGAAAAAGTTTGCTAGAAGGCAGTCTTTGGAATAGGTGGTTGCCTGGGTGGGAAGGACTAGCAGTAATCTCTCCTGCGCTCCTAGAGAGGGCTCAGACAGGAGGCAGACTGCAGCCAAGGGTCTTTTCTTATGATCTGATCAGCGCTGCAGGTTATCAGCAGTATATGGTATTTTGATGGTATTTTCAAAATACCGGCATTAATATCTTGACAAAATTTGGCAAGCAGGAGGGAATCCCTCATGTTATATTTTGGCAAAAGGCAAATTTTCTCATCAGTTCCAAATACCACGGTATACTGTGTTTGTGTAATACTGCTCAAGATGACGCCTTTTCTAATACTGAGATCACTCATATCCATCCGCCACCACTCATAGTGTGTGTGTGTGTGTGTGTGTGTGTGTACACGAACACAGACACATACATTAGCTTATATGTGTTGGTCTCCAAAATGGCAGTTGCTGTGGTTCTGAATAAGTGCGATTTTACCCTGTGATCAGTGCCTATGTGTTAATTGTGGCTTTAATGAAGTTGTATTGTGTCTTATTAATGGCCCGCAGTGAGGAACTCGCTGGAATGACAAGCTGGTGGCTGGTGGGTGGGCGAGAGTGAGCAGGCGAGTGCTGTGGTTAGGGAGCTTGAATCCAACGTGTCGGCTGTGTCACATGTGCAGTACAAAACATCCTGATTATGAGCGTTACAAGAGGCTGGCATCCACGCGCTGACGCAGCAGGGTAATGCTCCTGTCTGAAGCTACTGGGCAACTCGTATAGAGCCCCCGGGGAGAAGGCCTGTGTAGGGCTTCATCCTCTATAATGACGGGCCAGTGCAGGTGGTCCTCAGAGCTGAGAGTGCATTTATTCAGCAGTGGCATTGTAGTTACTGCAAAGGGTACGAGTAAATGGACTGCGTGGTGTAAAGTATTTATCAATCCATAAATTTGAAACTCTTGCATTCAAGAGACGTATTGCACACAGTGAAGGACATTTTATATAACTGTTCTTTCCGGTCTTCCTCCCACAGTCCCAAGACAGGCAGTTTAGTTGAAATAGTGTTTTAAATTGTCCATGGTGTCTGATTCCCCTACGCTGTGTGTGTGTGTGTGTGTGTGTGTGTGTGTGTTAGGGCTGCACCATATCGCATTGAGGGAATCACGATTATGTGGCGCATGCGCAATAATCACTCGGGCAAATCATTTATTTGGATGCCATTTTTTTGGTACTGTATGTACCTTTGCTTATGCCCATAATTTGGTAAGCAGATTAGTAATACGCCTAAAATATTAATGAGGCGTATTTTGACGCCCAAACATTCGTAATCTGTATAAATATGGCATCTCTTTATGTTTATCGGTTAGGAGAGCACACCATATCCAACTGTCTTTGTGTATCATGGAAGCGGTAAGCTCTGAAATAGCAGTGACGAAATGGACAGCTCAGCAGTCACAACATCTTTTGAAAGAGGGGATATTGTGGATAAGGTAAAAGATGTTGGCAGTTTGGTGATACTTTTAGCAGTATTATGTCCGACACATTTATTAAAAATAATATTCAGCTGAATTTATATAGATGACTAAATTTTGGGCATCGATACGCCTGTCATTAATATTTTAGGCATACTACTAATCTGCTTAGCGAATTGTCCGCATAAGTAAACACCCGTATAGCACCGGAAAGCCAGTGTCCAGATACATGTATGCCCATCATCTGAAGCCCTGGTGATTATTGCGCATATACCATAGAATCACGATGTGATATCGTGCAGCCCAAGCGTTAGTGTGTGCATGCAGGTGGGTTGGTGGGTATATGTGTCCCCTGCCATGGACTGGCATCCTGTCCAAGGTGTCCTTTGCCTCTTTCCATGTGCTTCCTGGGAAGGGATCCAGATCCAGGCTATGATCCATTTATCCAAACAGGGGAGCTTCTGGCCAATTTTTGAAGCTGCCCACTGCATAAAGATGTGAAGTGTAAATCACACAGACCAAACAAAAAAAACATCAGTTTCATGATTAGGGGAATTTCGATTAGTCGTGCAGAATAAAGAATAATACATAGCCAAAATATATGAATACGTAGTGGCTAGACACCTTAGTACAATATAGGGCTGCCACTAACGACTATTTTTATGTGGATTAATCTATCGACTTATCAATTGGTTGATTAATCTAAGCGTTTAATTTTCCTCTAGAAAATCAGATTGACTGTTTTATTTGACAATAAACTGTCATTGCAGGGCTTTAATTAACGGGCACCTGTTTTTTGGCACTATATGGGCATTATTTTCGACCACAATTTAAGTAGATTAGTAGTATGCCTAAAATATTAATGACATGCGTATTGTGACGACCAAAAGTCAGTAATCTGTATAAATTCGGCGTATCTTCATGCTTATTAAATTCGGTTAGCGGAGCGCCTCATGCTACTGTTTTGGTAAATCATTGAAGCAGTAAGTACTGATGCCGTGGTGAAGAGAGAGATAGCTGAACAGCCACAACATCTTTTAAAAGAGGAGATATTGTGGTTGATCAAGGTAAAAAGACGTTGGTTGGGTGGCAGTACTGTTTGCTGATTTAAAGTCAGGCACATTTTTTTTGGCAAATATTGTTTTCATTTTTCAGTTAACAATTTTTTAGTTTAGTTTTTCATTTCAGTTTTGTTTTATGGTGGTAACACTGGTCCCACCAAGGCCAACGTGCACGAACGCACACTGGTGCCATCAATTAATATAGAATATGCCCAGATTCTAGCCTAAACATTTTTTCAAATGCTTATTCAATGGAGATTCTGAGGTAAAGGAAAATGACTTGAAGCATTTTATAAATTATAAAGGTAATTGCATTAAAATAATAATATAAAACAATGCGTCGATTTAAAATTTTGATGTTGATGCATTTTCAGCATCGATGTCATCGACTACGTCGGCTAATTGCGGCAGCCCTAGTACAACATTGAGTGTCATGTAAAGTTGTGGTTTCTAACATGGAGAAGAGCCAACGTTGAAATGTATTTTGTCATTATCTCTGCCAGATTGCTTTTTCAAGTCTACACTTTCTTCAGAATACAGGATTTGTGCTTTGACACAATTGCACTGTTCATGAAAAACGTGTCATATTCCAAAGAGGACCATCCTTAATCCGAATGGCTTGTATACTTAAAATTACCCAGACCAACATGGTGAAACCTCTCTGTTTTGGTAGACGTGGTTCTGTTTCTATTTTTGTCAGAGGCATGGGAAGCTTAAGGGAGTGCATGCATCCGTAGCTAATTGTGGGTTATGGTCTTTATTCACCTTTTAGGCCCCCAGGGGGGGATTTCAGGGTAGATGGTAGGCCATGTACCACTGAGTTCAGAGGGTGTTAAGTTACTGAGGTGGGGGGAGGATTGACATGCCCCACAATACCCACAGGAAATACACTCCTGTTTGAGATTTTCTATAAATTAAGTATCTTTAATTGGAAGGCTGCAACCCCCCCTTGGGAATTCCCCACACTTCTTCGTACGACATACTTAAAGGCGGCAAGTATGATGCGTGATATTAAAAGCCGGGGGCCCCCTGTCGTGGTGACTGCTCAGCTGCCTTTTCAGTGGCCTGTTTGTCTTCTGGTTTTGAGTCACTCCCGAATCATCGCCGCGCCTCTGAGCTTCTAGCAGAGATTATTTTAGCAGACTTTCCTTGAATAATTGCCTGACAGCTTGTTAGTCACTCTTCCTGCTGCTCCATAGACTAAACACCCAGTGAGAGCGTAGCTTGCAAAGCATTGAATGGTTTAGATTCAGCCCCTGTTTGCACCTTGGGTATGCGCATAGAAAAGCATGATTTGCTGTATGGAATTGGGTCAGCTGTGCTGCACTGAGAGGCTGCTTGAGTAAAGCCCATTCTCATGTACGGTCTATGCCCCCCCGTCCCTGACAGTAATGATAAGTTACTGAAATATGACCCGGCTTTATTTCCCATCAAGGCATTAATATTTACATTGCCTGGGAGATCTTTTTCAAATGGAAACTTTTGAAGATGATTGAACACGTTCTATGGTACCATGTAGATTCCTTTTCCGAATTTCGGGTGCTAAAATTCGACATTTCTTGTAAAACACTTTTGATTTGCTCTCTCAACTGCATTACGCTATTTAATCATATTTATTAATGCATTCAGTCCCATTAATGCATAAACCAAAAAGGGAAGGATTTGTCACTGCTTATTTTAAACGTAGGCTCTCTGTGAGTAATGGATGTGGCTACACCAAGGCAGTATGCATACGGACCCCAAAGGCAGAGTATTTTAAGCCTGGAGAACTTCCAGGGAAGGCTCTGCCTTGGAAGATGCCGGGAAATGGATGCTTGTGGCTTCTGCCCTCTTCACACTAACCTTTTTGGGTTTTATTGTTAGATGCCGGAATCTACACCTTGCTCTCTGCAGAGGTGGGTCATACTCTGAAGACACCCACATGTCCCTCAGAGCTTAACTCCCCAACCAGATAAGATTAAATGTTCCCCTTGGGCTATTTGTTGATCCCTGGACAAGAACCTCTGTTAGTTCAGTCACATGTGTGGATTACTGGAGCACACGCCCATGTGCCCCCCCTCGAAGCACCCAAATAATTGGATGTTGCTTAGCGGTGACTGCTCCTGGCTTTTGATGTTCAGGGCCCAGCCAATACCACCTCATTAGCTAATTACCCAGGGGGAAGATGGTGCTTTTGTACAGAGAGATCCAAGCTTGGGCTGCCCCACAGTGATGATGATAAGACGACGAATGGTCTGTTCTATAGCAGCCATATACAATGGGCCAAAAATCTGCAGTCTATGCTTGTGATGTGTAATTGCTGAAGTGTCCATGTGTAGCTATTGTTTGTTGTTTTCAGAGAGCTTTACGTATTAGCTAAGTGATAGAGGCGTGTTCGTTAGCGTTACAGATGGTTTTTCCACTGAAACCGAAAACGGCTTATGCTTCGGGGCTTGTTCTTTTGAAGCTGAGTGCTGAAACTCTGCCCCATCAAATATTCATCACACAGAACTATTACGCACACGGTTCATCTAGTGTGTTAAGCCTACATGTTCTGATATGATACGACGGCTGTTTCTGCACATATCTCTATTACCCCAACTTGCCCTTTCTGTCTGTCTCTTGGCTTAGAGCTGTATCCCCTAAAACATATAATATATGCTTTCTGTGGCAGTCGGCAGGAAAATGACCGTCATGGACTAAATCAAAGTTAAAGATCTCAGGTCAGTTAAACACGTATTTCACTTCTAAACAAACCGAGCCTTTGGTTTTGCTTACTTCGAGGTGCTCAATGGACAAAGAGTTTTTTTTCCATTTAGCTTGTGAAACTAATAATTTAAGTCTTTAAATTGAGGCTGTGTTATCATCAAAGGTCCAGTCATTGTTCTCCTTGGCTAAGGGCAGGCGGGCCGGGGGGAACTCTCTCTTTATGTATCCTGTATTTTTTCCCCACATCAAACTATACATTTATCTAAATGATTCCAAACATTGCCCTTTGCTATTTTCTGGGAAAATAAAGTTGCAGTTGCTTCTATTCATAACTGGATGGATCTGAAGTAACACTGCTCATACAGAAACATTTTTTTAAATATTGGCTCATTCAGAAGTCCATAGTATTTAGCAGTTGTATAAAGATGTGACTCAAAGGTAAAACTGATGATTAGTTGTGCATAAATATATATTAAATGCAATATACTTTTAAACGTGTTACAAATGTAATGGTTTAACACATACGTTTTCCAGTCTGCAGCATGTTGCTCCCTATAATACCCTGCAGAAGTCGCTAAACCTCAAAGCGATCTTTGTTGCGCCAACGATGAAATTCTTAAAGCAGCCCTTAACATGTAAGATACGTGAAACCAGGCATACACTGTAGGTAACCACATTCCATCTTACTTCCTGGCCCCAAAGCATGGAGTGCAACCCTGTTCATATTTGGATTGTAGGCTTGTTGTGATCTAGAAGACTTTATTTCAGAAAATGGATCATTGACTCTTCCGGGATGCAGAGTTTGTTCTGTTCACAGGTACAGGAAGCCGTATTTGGCTTCTTGGCAGCATAGGCCGATCTAGGAGGAGCATCAGCCCAAAGCTATAGCTGTTAATGCTCTACAGAATTTTAATACATTAGCTTCTGCCCCAGTGGTTTGATGTTCAATTTACACTGTCTAGCAGCGGAAAGTTATTAGATTGAAGCATTACTTTTGTATTCCTTTCATGTACTTATTCATCAAGGCATGCTTGACTTCTTCCCGAGGCTCTCGTGTGGCTTCCTAAAAGAGATCATGACATGAACCCAAAACAAAATGGCTGTCTAAAGGAAGGTCTGAGAATTAGACTGCATCTCCTTGAGGGAAGATGTGTCTGTTATCCATCATTTGTGGATGTGTTAACTTGTACCAAGACTAGTGAGATGACCTTTCCAGCCCTGCTCTGTGTGCTGGTGTCTTGCAGAGTTCTGTCACCCTGGTCCGGGTCAGTCCCCAATTCGGCTTTGACTGTACTCCTAGCCAGTGCTACTGGTCAGCTCCACTAAACGCTCGACTCTGGCTAAGAGACTGAATCAGCGTCAAACCCAGTGTCGTTATCTGGTAATGAAGATGCATCGTGTGTTTTCAGCAGCCCAGGTTTCCAAGTAAACATTCAAAGCACAAAATAACATTGTGTAAAACAGGACACGTCTGATGGCTGTATTCAGGAAGACCACACCTCCCTGTTTCTGTTCAGCCAATGGACTCCAAGCTTGTCCGTTATCACCCACCAACCCGATGAAGGTTTTTTCAGTAAAAATGCATTTTTGTCTCACTATTTAGAAAACAGAATTTAGTAAAATACTGTCATGCATTAACTAAACTTTGCAGTTTCCCAAATTCCTCAAAAGAAAAGAAATGGCCCCATTTCAGCTTAACTAACAGGCACCATCGCATTTTGTGATGCACTAGTCTGATGCGTTCGGGGTTAGATGCAATGCTGCCCTCAATTTGCCATTTTCTAGCAGTGCCAAAGTCGGGCAAAGTTGGCTGAGCAATCCATTGTTTACAATTTCATCATGTAATTTGTGTGTCTGGAATGCAAAGGCCTTGTGTGCTAAAAGGTTTCGTGTAGCTGTGTAGTTGTTGTATTTGCATTTTTTCTTTCTTCCTGGTTTCTGCATAAACACTAAGGGAGAACACCTGCGCCTTTTCAGTGGGGTTCTTTAGACATTACAATGATTTTTAAGTTATGCATCTTTGTCTATTTTTTACACAATAAATTGAGTGTTTTACTTCACTGGAGCACATGCATCTAGAACTTAAAAATCTGATGTAATAGTGTAATGATGAGCCTTGAGAGCCCCAGAGTGCCGCTCTCGTCCGTTCAGCTTCCCCTTTTCTGTCTCGCCAGAGTGGGCCCACCTGTCGTCCTGACCTCATACAGTGAGGTGGGCTAAGATGAGTATAACCAGCGATGAAGTCAACTTCTTGGTTTATCGGTATCTCCAGGAATCAGGTATGATCAGCTTCCCCCCCGCCCTCTGTTGTTTGTCTTCTTATTTCATGTTAGTTTTCTTTCATTATTATAATTTTTTTAAAGATAGCTGTGGCTTGCCAATACCTGCGTACCTCCTAACTAAGTGCACGGCCCTGTTTTCCTGCCCAGATGAATGTGGCTGAAGCTGAGCGCTTCCCTGCTATAGGGTTCCGGCAGCTTCACAAGGTCACCTCTGATCCCCACTTTCCTGGGTAGTCCTTGTAAAAGTGAGGCCCCTGGGCATGGAGCTGAGTTTACGTCCCGCTGCCCCGTTCTCTGTAAAGCTTCAGAGATGCCAGCTTCAGAGATGCCCTCATTCGGGTGGAGTCAGCGACACTGATTGGTTCCCTGTTTGTGTCACTGTCTAAATCAGCATGGGGGTGTGATGAGCGCTGGGTTACTTTCCTGTATCGGCCCCGGGGTATCATGACCCTAACTGGGTTATCTGGGCTACTGGCTTGAGCGAGCACTTCCCCTCATGGGCCCCATCCTCCTCTGCAGCGCCCCCTTTCTGCCAATTTTTCCCTCTGCTATTCACAGCTGGCTGTAAATCGTTGCAGGGCGGAGGGGACATTGCTATCCACCCAGCTGAACACACATCTGCAGCAGCTTTGTGCTCCAACAGAGAATGTTAAACACCGACATAAATGTATAGAATGCGGAGAGTCCATGTACTCTGCTCTGTGACAAATAAATGCCAGTCTTTATTGTCTTACAAAGAATATTAAACGGTTATGTGTTTTCGTTATTTAGAGCAGTCTCTAGAAGAGAGTAATTAAAAAAGATTTTATTTTTGCCTTTTTTTCTTTTAGAATTCACTTGTTCTTTTTTACTCTTTGTGGTGTGACGTTCATCTTGACCCAAAAAGTCGGTGAGCGATAATGGGATTCCTTGACTCTGTATTTTTAAGTGGACTCAAGGTTTTGGTGAAAGCTTCCTCAGTGGCATATCCATGACACTTCCTTATTATTCTGGTCTTTAAGTCCTTGAATATGGAACAATATACAAGCATGATCATAAACTGGCTTTGGGCCTCTTTCCGGAAAATTTCCCCAGCAGATTAGTAACGCAGTGATAAGGATTATTCAGGAATCCAACAAAACATTTTAACCAACATTAAACTGAAAGGATGCTTCAATCATGCTGTATCCACGAGGAAGTCACATGTGCTAATTTTGGAGGAATGAATGAAACTCTATGTTGTGTGTGCCTGCATGTTAGGTGGAGGTGTGTGTGTGTGTGTGTGTGTGTGTGAGAGAGAGAGAGAGAGAGAGGAGCTAATAGGCTTCTGTCTGTTCAAACTCCCTCACACGTGTATTTCAGGTTTCTCACACTCTGCGTTCACCTTTGGCATTGAAAGCCACATTAGCCAGTCCAACATCAACGGAACGCTAGTGCCCCCTGCTGCCCTTATATCCATCCTGCAGAAGGGCCTTCAGTACGTGGAGGCAGAGATTAGCATCAACGAGGTGACTGACCCGGCTTTTTTGGTCATGATATTTCATATAAAAAAGTGCAAGGAATGTGCAAAGTGAGATTTATGATCCTAGAGGGTACTTCTAACAGTGAGATGATTGTGCTACTAAAACAGATTTGCATGTTGGAGATATCCAACCTGAAGATTGTCTTGGAGGTTTTGAAAATATCTAATAAACTGTACCTGACCTTTAAGATACTCAGTTGAGCAGATGGGTAAAATAGTATCAAGTACATTTGGAAACAGTTTGTGATGCAACATTTGCTGGTGCTGTGTTTATATATTCCCCTGTACACTGTCTGGCCTTTACACATCTCCCCTGCTGACACACGGAGCACATCGTGTCTCTGTCACAGGATGGCACCGTCTTTGACGGCCGCCCCATCGAGTCGCTGTCACTCATCGACGCTGTCATGCCCGACGTGGTGCAGTCACGCCAGCAGGCCTTTCGGGAGAAGCTAGCCCAGCAGCAGGCCTTTCGGGAGAAGCTAGCCCAGCAGCAATCTGCCAGCACCGTGGCCATGCCCGCCATAAGCGCCAACCAGCCGTGCGTGCCGAAGAACGGCGAGGCCGCACTTAATGGGGACGAGAACGGAGGACACTTTCTGAGTAAGGGCCCTTTAATCTGTGTGTGGGGGGGGGGGGAAATGGGAACGTGACCCACGGCTCTGCGATGCACTGTGTTTTCTGTTCAAAGATATCTATGTAATCGGTGTAATACTCTACCTCATGAGTGTAATTGTATGTCAGTTGTGTGAGATGGTGGAGTAACGATGGTGTGAAAAGGCCATCGTGCTCAGAAGCTGCCGCACTCTCATTTTGGGTAGTAGCACCGGAAAGCGGATCATGGGGCAGGTACACAGTTCTGTTACACCGTGCGTTGTGATGGGATCTTTCCTGTCACAGACAACCATGCCGAGCCCATGGAGATCGACGGTGAGGTGGAGATCCCCGCCAGTAAGGCCACGGTACTGCGGGGGCACGAGTCCGAGGTCTTCATCTGTGCCTGGAACCCCGTCAGCGACCACCTGGCCTCTGGGTGAGCTCTCCTGACCGGACAGCCTGCCTCATCCCTGAGTGGTGCGTGATCACTCACCCCAGCCCCCAACCCCCCCAGATCTGGTGACTCCACAGCACGGATATGGAACCTGAGCGAGAGCAGCTGTGGAGGCTCCACCCAGCTGGTGCTCAGACACTGCATCAGAGAGGGCGGCCAGGATGTCCCCAGCAACAAGGACGTCACCTCCCTGGACTGGAACGTAAGCCTCGCCACGGCCATGCGCATGCAGTGACGGTGAGGCGACGGTCTGCTCATAACTGCTGGTCTATGTCGTGTCCCCCACAGAGTGATGGCACGCTACTGGCCACTGGCTCTTACGACGGCTTTGCCAGGATATGGACGAAAGATGGTACCTTTTAAAATACGCCCTTAATGCGTTTACAGCCCCTTTACTGAATCCCTTTGCGTAAATAGCGCATTATGTGAATGAGATCCCTGTGCATTGAAAGGCAGACATGGAAACTAATTATTTCTGCTTGCTTGCAGGTAATCTGGCCAGTACTTTGGGACAACACAAAGGCCCTATATTTGCACTGAAGTGGAACAAGAAAGGAAACAGCATTCTGAGTGCCGGTGTGGACAAGGTGCGTTGGGCCTCCTCAGGCTTGCCCTTCTCTGTGAGCCAGGGGAAGCTCCTTTAACACCCTCTGGACCTCGGGATGCTGTCTGACCAGAGCAGCACCTCTGCCAGGTCTCTTAATCAGGGGGCGACTTTTCCTAGAATAGGCTATTGGCAGAGTAAGCTGGTGCGGGCAGAGTTCTTGAGCTTGTGTAGTTGAGGATTCAAGGATTCAAATGCTTTGTGACTTGTACAAGTACAATGAAATATTTGCTTACATACATCCCTTCAGACTTCAACATACAATGATAAAGAATATTGTGTAGCAGATGACAAAATGGTGAGGACATAATATACAAGCAATATATAAAGCATAAAAACATTATACAAACCATATACAGTATGCTCACATTATACAAGAACATACTGTGTACAGCATACAGTAACATACAGTTTGGAGAAAAAAGTCCTGAGGTTTAAAGTGGCAGCAGGTAATAAATGAGTAACCCACCCCCCATCTACCCCTCCAGACCACCATTATCTGGGACGCCCACACCGGTGAGGCCAAGCAGCAGTTCCCCTTCCACTCAGGTGGGTTGCAGGACACTCAGATGCTTTCATGACGTCACGATGAGTGTCACCACCATGTTGGGTCCCAAAGGCCATAATTTGCTATACTGTCCGCATGTTGTGTGATGGGGCGATAACCGTATGTCATTTTATAGACTTACTGGAAGATTCATCAGAGCAAGGGAATTGAAAAATGTGTGTAAATTCTGAGCTGCATAGTTTCAATGGGGAGCATAGGAGAAAGTTGTGGGGAGTGAAGGGAGTCTTCGGGGGTGGTGGCTGTCACCCCAGTGTGTGCCTCTCCCGTCTCCTGGGAGTTATCTCCATTTTTCACATTTAGATTAAAATTACAACGGGAAAGAAGCTCTTTCTGCAGCATGAGCTTTATGTAGGGGCAGATTTTCAGGTGAATGGGCCATACCAATGAAGGGTTGGGTGGCAGTTGCTTCCAGCAAAAAAAGGGATGACAACAGGGTAATCGAAACTAGTGCTGTCCCAAACGATTATTCTTTAAACGATTAATCTAGCGATTTTTTTTTTTGATTATTCGACTAATCTAACAACTAATTTTTTGATTGATCTGACGATAAATTTATTGATAAATTATTTTCAAGTTAGTCATTTAATACAATTCACCCTCCCCGCCACACATTATTCTCATTAATATTTCAATTTATCAAAAACATTTCTTAAACATTAGAGCATTAACAAAAAAGGCAAATCTTAAGAGATTCAATAGGATTTCTATTAGACTGAAGTTATTAATAATCACTGCAATAGTTTTTACTTAATGATTTCAGTACACCAATTTGACTAATGTTGAAATAGATGCTAAAACACGGAATGATTTCATCACTAGAGAAACATGTTTTTAACAAACACTAGCAAAGGTAGCTTATAGTTAAGCTTACTTCAGTGAGCAAGAAACGATTTAGGCTACAGTGTGTAAGAGTAGTCGTAAACGATAATTTGTCTCACTCTTACATGACAGAATAAGTAAGCAGAAAATATAAAACGGCTGAAACAGCGTCATTAACGTCAGTTACAGTAGAGGTGCAGAAAAGGTGTCATGACTGAATTATTCCCAAGCTTTGGAAGACCGCGTGCGAGCCTTTTTGCCGCGTATTTCTCCAGAGGCTCCGGAGCTCTGCTGGTAGACGCGGCCATGTTGCCTTGTGCGCAGATTTCCTTTTTGCAAGGTGGTAGGAAATGTCTCATTAATATTTATGAGAGAAGTGCTACATGATTGGCCAGTGCATGCCTTATAGAATAGTGTGGCACTGCTGGCACTGGCAATATTAGACAAAACTATATCGGAATTCAGTCTATAATTGATATAGTTTTAACGGTGCCAGCAGTGAAACAACTAACCAGCTTATTAGCGGAATAACTTTGTATTGTAAATGAAAACCACGCCACAGGTCCAATAAATAAAATATTGTAGCTCTCGAGTGGTGAAGGGATCATCAGGTGGACAGTAAAGTTCAGTTATTAGCTGACAGTTTTATTGCACGATTCTTAAAAGGACAGTGTTAACGTGCTCCTAAGGAGATCTCCCTTACAATACGTTGAGCTTATCACTAATTAATGCATTGCAGTTACAAAACATTTACGTAGTTTTACATAATGCGTCGACACTAAAATTCCACGTCAATGCATTTTTATAATCAACATCGTCCATTATGTCGAATAATCGTCCCAGCCCTAATCGAAACACAACTGTATAGGGAAAGTTGTTCTCGATCATTAGGATTTGCTTTTAAGGCACTACACGGTCATCATTAGAATGTAAGGGCGATCAGGCTTAGAGCTGGGTGGTATGACCAAAAATATATATCATGGTATTTTTCAAAGTTATATCGGTTTCATGGTATACGACAGTATATGACTGGACGTTTACCACACTTTACAGGACACATTTTTGTTTTACGTTTTTGCATTGTTCCCACGTTAACTATATTATTTTATTATTAGCCATTGCACTTATCCGCTACCTTAATGATAACATTCGGCTAACGTGTTTGTTGGCTAACTGCTTATAGATAAACAGCTAATGTTAAGGTGTGCGCCAGCCAAGTTAACATTTTTGATAAGTGTTTAATAGTTCAGTGTTACTGGAACACAAGCTTTACTGAGCTCGCAAAATTTCTCATAAAGACCGGGATGTCGGTCTTTAAGATGCTTCGCCAGGTTTGACGTGTTACTTGACTTCGTCCCCACAACTTTGTAGCGCTGTTTGCATAGAGGCTTATCGACATCCTTAGCCTTTCCATGCTCGTCTGCAAAATACTTCCAAACTGCGCTTTAGGTTTTTTTTTTTTTTTTTTTTTTACTAAAGCAGCTTTTGTGAAGTGCCTTCAACTGCAGCATATGCTATGTTTGGCCAACTCAGTATGTGAGCATTAACCAGCGCGAATGCGTTCAGTGGCTATTGAGATGAGGGGTACTTTGTGAAGTGTGCCGAATGGCAAAAACCGCACTGTTGGTATCAATAATGGTGAAAATTAATCAGATACTAATTTTTAATTTCGATTAGTATCTGAGAATTGATTTTTGACAAGCCCAGTGTCTCATTATTTTCAACTCCACCTTCAGCTATATCTTCTGTTTCTGATCTTTGGCGGTACATTTTTAGCGGTGCAGCAGTGAAAAAGGTCCCCCCTTAAGCAGTTTCCAGCTGCGCCACTTTCCGAACATTGTGTAGGCTATTTAAACCGGTATTGCAGTATCATAACAATTCATATCATAACAATAATAAAAAACTGTTTTCAGTATGAAGCAGTATACCGCCCAGCACTAATCAGGCTTTTTCAGTAGCCGCTTATGAGTTTTACATTAGACCATCCTCAGATTTCCATTTTTAAAGACTCATTTTTGCATTCTGACTTTTGAAGCACCCTTATGTTATGTCACTGAAGACCTGTCTATATATTTTATATTTACGTTACTAAGTAGAGGACTGGTTGAAGAGTCCTCACACCTGGGTTTGAACAGCTAACCTAAAGCTTATCCCACAATCCTGCATATGCACTGACCCTTTGTGGATATGATTGGCCGCCCCTGCCTTAGGGTGCTGTATCTATTATGGTGCCAGTATAAATAAACATCACATGACTGCAAGGGCTCACTGATAAGTGAGGTCATGTGATGCCAGCATATGGCTTTTCCTCTTATTGGAAACTGTGTCCTCTCTGTTGCCGTGTTGATATGGTCGCCTGTCTCTGCCAAAGTTAGTCATTTGGTGTCATCCTGCCCCCCCCCCCCCCCCGGAAGTTAAGCATGTGTAGTGTTTCTGAATAATGCACCAGGGCGCTACAGAAATGCAGGACTAAGGCTGAGGTGCAGCCCTTCTAGATGATGTCTGATGGAGCAAAGCTGTGAGGTATGGAATCAGCCGAGTTCCAACCCGCTGGGTGTGTGTGTCCCTCCGCAGCTCCCGCCCTCGACGTGGACTGGCAGAACAACACCACCTTCGCCTCCTGCAGCACCGATATGTGCATCCATGTGTGTCGGCTAGGCAGCGATCGGCCGCTCAAGACCTTCCAGGGACATTCAGTGAGCCCCTCCCACCATCACACACCCCTGCTGATATCGTCTCCCTGTTGCCACGGTATTTCCCTGGAAGTCTGGTATTATTAGCCCTGACACGTGGCTGCAGGTGACGGAGATGCCAGGCGGTAACCATGGGTGGGACCCAGTGGGGCCAGTAGGCGGGGTCTTGCTCAGCCGATTGATCTCTTTTTAGAATGAAGTCAACGCCATCAAGTGGGACCCATCCGGCATGCTGCTTGCCTCCTGCTCCGATGACATGACTCTGAAGGTAAGGCGGCCGTCAGGGACGCCCTCCTTTCTCGGTTTAGCTCACTGGGGACTGTTTCTTATTTTAGACTTCCTGTTTTGACGTGTCTTAGCAGGTTCCCAGTAGTTACGATTAAATCGGCTCTCTGAAGGGCTGGTTTCTCCTCCATTTATCCTAAACCGCGAGTAGTGAATTGTATTATCAGCCACGCTTCGGTCTACTTAGCAAACTGTGCCAGCAATTATGTTTTTTCTTTTTTTTTCTTTTCTTAAATGTGTGCCTCTCCTGCCAGATCTGGAACATGAAGCATGATTTGTGTGTACACGACCTACAAGCACACAGTAAAGAAATCTACACCATTAAATGGAGTCCCACGGGCCCTGGGACCAGCAATCCAAACTCTAACATCATGCTCGCCAGGTAGACACAAACATCATGCCGGGGTGGGGTTGTCATGTTTGTAAATTGGGTCAGCTGGTAGAATTTAGCCAGATTATGCTGTGGTCAGCACCTTGAGCTTTGACTTGACCAATGTAACTATCCAGAAAAACACGTGAACATTCATGGCATGATATATTCAGTTATTACTGCAAGAAAACCTTGGTCCAAGGTTTGTCAGAAATACCCAAACGGCAATAACGGCCATTTGAATTGAAATGTCAGTGCATTAGCACCAATCATTACTTTAATTAATAAATGACCTTCCATAGAAGTGGTAGATGTTCAATAAGCTTACCCTGAATTCTTGAAAATATTATAAATTTGTGTGTGTGTTTTAATTGTCAATGGAACAAGTGAAGAAGAAATATTAGTGTGTCAAATTATATTAAATGTTGAGTGGGGGGGTGACCCACTGTATGCGTGTCTTTCACACCCCCAGTGCCTCTTTTGACTCCACGGTGCGTCTGTGGGATGTGGAGCGTGGCGTCTGCATCCACACCCTCACCAAGCACCAGGAGCCGGTCTACAGCGTGGCGTTTAGCCCTGACGGCCAGTTCCTGGCCAGTGGCTCTTTTGACAAGTGTGTCCACATTTGGAACACCGCGGTGAGTGGCCGGTCCTCGCCTGTGCTTACTCAGACAACTCTTCATCACACTATTCTGTAAAGTCTAGAAACTGTAATGTGTGTAAATCCCAGGAGGGGGACTGTTTCTGAGATGCAGGAACCACCACGTCTGGCACTGACAATCGGCACACATTCATAATGGCTTAGATCATGTCTTAGTCCTGTTTTAGTTTAGCCAAACTCTGACTGAACCTCTTCACCGTCTGTGTTTTTGTATTTGTTGAGTTGCAGCCACATGCTTTGAATCTCTGATACTGTTAGTCTTCAAGGTCGATGATATACTCAACTCTTTCATTTGATATCCGATCTAAAGATGTTAGTCAGGTTAAAGGACCATATCTGCTATCTAACCAGGATCACTCTGCTGTTTTGCTGTATTCAGAGCGGAGCTTTGGTTCATAGCTACCGGGGCACTGGTGGCATCTTCGAGGTTTGCTGGAACAGCACAGGGGACAAAGTTGGAGCCAGTGCCTCTGATGGATCTGTAAGTCAATGCAGGGGTGTCTGCTTACCCCCACTCTTGGGGGATTTTTGGTTTGCTTTCAGTGGGTTGTGAGTCGATGTAAGCAATTTACGAATTATACAATATTGCTTGATTCCTTCCACAGGTGTGTGTCCTCGACCTTCGGAAATAGCTTTCTGGCTGCAGAAGATGCGACTTGGAATTTGCGGCAAGACACTGTCTGACATCCCGTCATGGCATCTTGACATCAGAAGTCTTTGCTGTTGCAAATGTGCAGGGACTCTGGCAACCCACCCCATCCCCCACCCCCCAAAAAAAAAATCGAAGCCGACTACAGCCCTCCCCCACAGGGCAGAAGTTTCAGAACAGCAAGGATGTGCCAATGTAAATCAAAATTGTGAAAACCAAAATTAACATTAAAGAAGCCACCCTTCGAAGATGTGGGCACTTGTTAGATCTGAAACCACGATCTTAGATAGAGTGACTGTTTGACTACAAGGAACCACTTGGGTCATTCACAGTGTCAGTATGGCCACTGTGAGGCAGTCTGTCACCCATAAGGGTGGATGTGGTCAGAATCTGGCCGAAGGGAACTGAAGAGGGGGGATTTCTCTCTCTGACCTGGCAGCTGATCCTGTCGTCTTCTGAGGGGTGGTCTGACATCAGCTTGTGGACAAGAAGCTTTGTACAGCAAAAAGCTGCCGAGCAGAAGAAGAGGCCAGCGTGTGTGTATATGTGAGAGGGCTTTAACAAATGTCTAGTTTTTTGTATTTGCAACTTCTGAGAGCAAATGATTGAAGATGGACTGGTGACGTTTCCTACACAATTGTGGCATCTTCTGTGACTGTGATGGCACCGCTAAACATCTCCTTTATGGAGAAGGGGTCTAGTCCCAAGCGTAGATCTCAATAGAGTTTTAAGCTGAACTTCGGAAGTCACAAGGTTCCTTCATTGGAGTCTTATGTCAAAGTCAATGTAAAAAAAAAGAATAAATAAAACGGCCAGGATTTTTATTTCTAATTTTAAAATCTCCCCGCCCCATTCATATGAATGACAAACTTCATACCAAAATCAGTACTTACCCTGGTTAATATTTCTGTTTTTTTCTCCTGGGATGTAAAATTGATGAATGTACAGGTTTGTAAATCAGATACCTGTTTATATACTGTGTATATGTGTTTATATGCAGTATGAGTAATAGCTGTCCTTTGAAGGCACTATACACTTTAGGGTTTTTTTTTCTTTGTTTTTTGTCCTCTCGCAAGAAATGACTAAAACAGCCTTTCCTCTCCCAAAATTTATTTTGAGATCCCTGATTTAATTCATTGTCATTGGTCATCAGCTTTGTGTGGCAAGGAGGCAGAGCTCAGAGACCTCAGCTGGGTGACGGTTGAAATTTACTGGCAGAGATTAATAGGAGAATATGTGATGTTAAGCTGCTTAAGGACCCTACTGCCAGAAAAAATGAGATGGTGACATCTTTGAGAGAGGGGTCCTGTTGTGCTCTGTGGTTTCACACGCGATGTTCAGTGTGTTGGCCTCTGTCTGTGTGCTATTGCCAACTAGCTAATCAAAGATCCATGACCTAGTGAATATATTATAAATATTGTGCACCCATGGTTCCCATAAGAGGCACATGGTATTTTTTATTTTTTTTTGAAAATGCTTGAAGGCATAACCACTTCTGCAGTGTTCTCCTTTAGCAGCAGATGGCTAAGGGAAAACCTACTAGCTATATGCTCTTGACTGATTTTAAGCCAACTGCAGCCAGTCATGAGGAAGGCCCAGGTTAGCTTGTGACGTGCTGTGATTGGTTAACTGGACATCTTCCCGTTTCCTCTTTCAGCTGTTGATTGATTTGTGTTGCTTTGACGCCTAGTTGTGTCATTTGCTTTGTGCCGCTTCATATTGTGGGTGGATTTTTTTGTTCTGTACGCCGTCTACTCACTGAGCTGTAACGCAAACAGCAGAAACTGCAGAATTAAACACTTAGAGCAGGACCTTTATCGGCTAGACTTATGACCCATTTTTTTTTTTTGTACCAAACCTTTTTTTTTTTTTTTTTTGAGAGATGTGAAGTGCACTTTGGTCTGTCATGAGGTCCGCTTTTTTTTTTTTTTTTCTTTGTCTTCGTCATGCTGGCTGGTCAAAGGTTTGCCTTGTCTGGCTAATTCATCCTTCACTGACAGCTGTCTGGCTTCTGCTGTAAGAAGCCGCAGGGGTTCGGATCTGGGAGACCAGGGCCACTGGGGTGCGCGGTGCTGGCTTCCTATCTCGCCTTAACATACGGGGTTAGGTCATTGGTTTCCGGGACAAAACCATTTAAGTCATGCTCCATGTCTTGAATAAATCGCTCTATTTTGATATTAGAAAACATTGCATCTTGTCCTTTTTGTCTTCCCGCCTCATCTTCGTCTGAAATGTATTTTTATTTTTTTTGGGGGGGGGGGGGTGACTGTGACCATTTTTAGGGAAATCCCCTGACCTTCCACGCATGGGAAGCCCCTCCTAGGAGATGGTCTGCCCACGGATGGCTGATCTTGATTGTTGTTAGAACTTTGTTCCATATTGGGATTAATGCTAAATTCATTACTGGAGAAGAAATGTTGCTTTATTTCATTACACCTTTTAAGTAAACTCTGGTGTGATATGGTAAGTTGGTTACAAACCTCCTTATTAAACTTGGAGAAAAGCAGGTAGAACCACATAGTAATTTTGATTTGATTTTATATAAACTAACTTCAGTCCCCATGCTAAGGGGAAACATTCCAAGCATGGGAATATTCTGATCACATTTTCATCCTTTATCTATAAAGACAAAATGGTGCCATTGTAAAAAAAAAAAAAAATGGATGTTAGAATTTCCCTTGATTAGGTTTAGAACTAAAAATTGTATAAAGACACAGGGTTTATTCCACGTCAAACCAGGCATAACTAAACCTATTGGACAAAATCTGCAAAGTGTATTGAAGGTGAGCACTAAGGGACATTTCAGTACAACTGCTTTATGTGAAAGTATGTGCTGGTCTTGATTTCACTCTGGTAACAACGTAAATATATAACAGAAATTTGTGGTACAGAGACTGAAGAAATCTGGCCCTGGGTCTGATTTGTGTGGAAACGATGAGGGCCACATAGGGATGAGAGGAGGGTGGCTGATGACCAGGCCAGGAAGGGGGGGCTGCTGGAGGACTGGGCCGCTTCTCTCCCCCCATTATCATTTCGCAGGGCTCCCCCTGCAGTCCCGTACAGCCTCACAGCTCACTGGAAATGTGGATCTCAATAGTACTAGACTCTGAACCTAATGAGATAAAGGGGGCGACTCCATTTAGAAGGTAAATCACTTTAATCCTCCTATCACACTTTTGTAGCATTTATAATACTCATCCTTTGTGATTTTATACTAAAGTTTATTCTTAATTCTGCTGTTTTGGTTGGACTCTAAATACTGTTGCAAGGAAATTTTATTTCTGACCAATGTAGTTCTCTATTGCACTGAATGTTTTGAATGTCAATAATGAGAGAGATCTTGTTACATTATTTCAAGGGCTTTACTGCAGACATCCAAAATGGGGAAATTCTCGCTTCTGAAAACTGCACTGTACTTGAGAACATGAACTAATAGACTGATGATTAAATTCCAAGCTCTTGTGCTGTGGACTGCCTTGTGTGCCCCAGGAATATTTGTCCTGATTTCTCGCGGCGGCTGAAGGGTTTACATTAATACTGTACTTCCCAAGATCCCTGCTGCAACTGGGGCTCAAAACTTACCAGAAGGTCCTGTGTTCTGCTTTTTCCCCACTATGACCCTTTAAAGGTACATCAGTAACAATGCTGCGCTTTACACTGATCAGCCATAACATTAAAACCAGCTGGCCTGTGTTAATCCACTTCATGCCACCAAAAGAGCTCAGACCTGTTGAGGCATAGACTCCATAAGATCTCTGTAGGTGTCATGTGGTATCTGGCACTAAGACATTAGCAGCAGATCCTTTAAGTTCTGTAAGTTGCAAAGTAGGGCCTCCATGGATTGGATTTGTCCAGCACATCCCACAGATGCTTATTGGATTAAGATCTGGGGAACTTTGAGGCCAACTCAACATCTTGAACTTCTTTTTAAGTTCTCAACCCATTCCTGAACAATTCTTGCAGTGTGGCAGGGTGTATAATCCTCCTGAAAGAGGGCACTGCATCAGGGAATACCGTTGCCATGACGGTGTGGTAGGTGGTACATATCAAAGTGACATCCACATGAATGCCAGGAACCCAAGGTTTCCCACCAAAACATTGCCAAGAACATCATACTGCTTCTGCTGGCTTGCCTTCTTCTCACAGTGCATCCTGGTACCATCTCTTCCCCAGGTAAACGATGTATACACACCCAGCCGTCCACATGTCACAGTACACGTGACTGATCAGATCAGGCCACCTTCTTTCATTGCTCCATGGTCTAGTTCTGAAGCTCAGGTGCCCATTGTAGGTGCTTTCGGCAGTGCACACGGGTCAGCATGGGCATTTTGACCGCACTCTGGCTATACAGCCCCATACGCATCAATGTGTAATGCACTGTATGTTCTCACACCTTTCTGTCATATCCAGCATTTGAATAATTTGTGTTACAGTAACTCTCCTGTGGGATCAAACTAAATGGGTTAGCATTCCTTCCCCACACGCATCATTGACCATTGGGTACCTATGATCCTGTCGTCAGTTCACCTTCCTTGGACCACTTGTCGTAGGTGCTGACCTCTGCACCCCACAAGACCTGCCATCTTGGAGATGCCCTAACCCACTTATCTAACCATCACAGTTTGGCTCTTGTCAGAGTCCCTTAAACTTCAAGACCCTACTGTTAACTTGCTTAATATATAATGGCACCCTTGATAGGTGTCATTGTAATGAGATGATCAATGTTATTCACTTAACCTGTCAGTGGTTTTAATGTTATGGCTGACTGGTATATATTTTGCATGTAGTTTGTAAAATGTGTACTTATGACCAACATATATAGTAACTGGAAAATAGGTTGGGAAAGCTATCTCAGTGTTTGTACTGAAGATGATACTGTATACAGCATTATTGTTTACAGGCCAATCAGGGGAGTGGAATGCATTAGAGATCCTCTTCCACACCTCTGAATAAATGTGTTCTGATGGGTCAAGGTGAAGAACTGGAGACCCACACAAGTTGTTATGGGACTGAGAACTGGAACCAGGGGCCTGGGTCAGTAGATGACCATGCCAGATTGGATCACTACTTGGCTGAGCTACAGGTTGTTGTCCTTGCTTCTCTTGTCCAGTTCGAATGAGCAGGTATCGCCTGAGCAGCCCTCATAGGCCGCAGCCTGTTCACGCTTTAATCACGCATAGCATAGGCAGCGCTAATGTCTGCTTCAGCTGCAATAATGAATATCTGGCTGCTCATTTTAATGACTCTTGTCTCTCTGAGGAGATTTCAGATTTGTTTCGGTAATCATGTTACAAGTTACGTAATTGTACATATGAATGTTACAATGGCAGACCTGTTCAGGCGTCACAAAATTCACATGAGAAACACCGTTTCTGTAATTCATGTTTGTAAGTACTGGTACACAGGGGGGATGAAAATAAATCGTGCAGTATTTCCCTATAAAGTTAGTCTTATTGCATATGATGTATTCATCATGTGTCTCATTCTTGTTATTGAATATTATGACTGATGGATAAATTAACAGGTATTACGATGGATGTGCTTATGGCCTCATATGGTCATAATTAAAAACCAGACTGCCAATGAGAGATCATTTGACCAAGGCTGTCCAGGACCAGCTATAGCAGGTCTCACAGTCCCTGGTAAAATGGGCAAAATGCACCGATCCCCTGGCTCCAGTTACCTTCTGAAAGGAAGTTGATGCTTTCAGAGAGCCGACGGCCATTTCTGGCAATGCTCTTCTTGGTCTCCTGCACGTGACTCTGGTACAGCACTGGGACGGGGTTGTAGGTGTCCCCAGCAAGCCCTGATGTTGAGGCCGAATCCCAAGGAGCGCTCCTGCAAGGCCAGAACCTGAAATCTGCGTTGAAGCCCGTCCAGCCGTGGAAGGCCAGAGTGTTTAGGAAGCCGTGCATGGGGTTAAGGATACCCTGGGAAATGTGGAATGTTACATCATCGTTTGTAATGCAGAATCAAGCTGAAGAGATTTTAAAAACTTCAAGATTTGTGTCCATAAAGGTGCTGAAATATACTGCATATTCTCACCATGATGAACCATGTGGTGAGAGTGGCATTCCTGATGTTCTTCAGGCTGCTGGCTGTGATGTCTGTCTGCATCTCCAGGTAAAGGAGCAGGCTGTCGTTGACAATGTTGGGCAGCCAGCTGATGGGAATTTGGAATCTGTGTTATTACGTCATCGATTAACCCAGCGCATAACTACCTAGGGTGGTGGTTTGTAAACCCAGTTCATCTGAAGCCTTTCTATTGCTCCAGATGAACTTTTAATTAGGCTCGTCAATTTATCTGACACTGATACTTCTGATTTGTCTTATCCTAATTATTTTGAGAGGTTTTTGAGTTTCACTTGTTCTGGTAAGCACATTTTTGGGGGTCCTTAAATTGTTAGAAATCTTGCACAGTACATCATAAAAACTGATTAATATCCTGATTACGCATAATTGCTTTATTGAAAGAAGCAGATGGTTAGCCACTTTTATTCTCAATCGTACTAGTGATGCTTTTTATATATCCTGCAACTTGCTAGTTAGCTGATACGAAACTAGTGTCAGAACTGGTTTAATTAATAAGCTGAGTAGAACGAATGCCTTGCGCATAGAGGTGCATGGTGACACGCTGAACCAGAATGCTGAGCTGTGCAATCCAGTTACACCTGTGCTGTACTTGAACTGCTCTGAGGGTTTGGTGACCTAATAGGTTATGTGAGATGATAACGCAGGACCATGCTGACTCATAAGAATAATTACATAACTGAAAGCTAATTTTTCCAATTGCTGTGTTTTCAAACCTTGTGTTTACATTCATGTAGTTCATTTACATTATCATTTACATATCCAAAGGACAGAACTTAGTTATTTGACATAGTTGCTTATATAGAAATTACACTGCCAATTCTACAAGTCCAATTATTTATTGAAATGTTACATTCTTGTGACTGATCTCAATATTTCTTAGAGACTGATATCTTTTAAAAAAAATCATAATGTCATATATTCAGACCAGATATTCTTATTACAGCTATTACATTATTTCAGTAGGGACCAGTTCTTCTCTGATAACTTTTAGAAATAACATTCCATCATTCTTGATAATCTATCAGTTTTAAATGTCACATTTAAATAAATTATTAAGCAGTATAATTAAATTCATAAAACATTCTTGTCCAGTATAGGATATGACTATTTTAAGAATTGAAGAATTCAGGGCTCAATGGGACATTGTGTAATGTGATCTTAATTTTCTTTTAATGAAAGACTAACTTACCAAATGCAAAAAACCAGCATGATCTTAAAGAAGCGCGTTTGGATCTCTCCTCCCAGTCGCCTCTCATTCTCGGTGTAGATACCTTGCCCACCTTTCAGCAACGAGGTAACTGCATTCACAGAGTAAATGCATGAAGATGCAATTTAACAATGTGAGGTCCATGATATTGCACTCTAAATAGTGCAGATAAAAAAACAAAAACAAAAAAAGTTTTTTTTGGTTTGGGGTTGGGGGTGCGGGAAAGTTTTGTTGGGGCAACGTATACCCGCTGCCACAGTTCGGCTGAACAGCACAGGGTTGACGAGAACCACCAGCAGCAGAGGCGCGTAGGTTGTGATGTAATGGGGGACGGCGTGGAGCAGGCGATCCTCACAACTGCAGTGAGAGGAAACTGAAAGCAGTGCAGAGCAGCTCCACGTCCATGCGGGGATGGATATGCATAGGCGTCCTACCTGGAGACAGACGGGTAGTACAGCATGGCAACTCCTTCGATGCACAGCATTACCGCCAAGCCCCAGGTGATCATGTGATACAGCACGATGGTGCTGCCGCAGAGAGCAGAAGACAGCAGGCATCAGGAAGGGTGCACTGCTTACAGTCAAGTACAGGCAAAAACTATTGATCACGGTATGCATGAGGCAATATGGCTACCAAGTCAGCCTATACAGCAGGGTTATTCAACTCACGGTCCTCGAGGTCCGAGCACTGCTGGTTTTCCAGCCTTCCTTTACCTGTCAGTCATGTGTGAAGCTTCTGACCATTCAGAATCAGTCATTATTAAACAACTACTTGGGAGAACTGAAAACACGGCCTGGATTTGGAATCGAGGTCCAGAGTTGAAGAACCCTGCTATACAGCATGCATCCTACACAGTATATAAATTCATAAGACCAAGAGATACAGTAACAGTCTGATTGGAAGTTAAAATAAAATCAAATCATGCACTACTATTTCTGGATTCATGAAAAATCTAAAATAAAAGAAGGCTTGGCTGAAATCTAGTCTTTCATATTGTCATACCTTCTAGACATTTCATCCCAGTAAATGGCACATGAGAGTATTCATAAAAAGAAATGTAAATCATGTAGGCTACTGTAAACTCGGGAATCAGAGAGAGCCTAAATGGATGCATCAGTGTAGCAGTAGGGAAATGAGGAGACGACTCCTTGTTGAAGAGTTAAAAAGATCACCCTTTGTTTATTGACACCACTGTTACTACCTGATCTGCAGCCGCATGCGAACTAGGTTTCACATATGCGAAGGATGCTGTAAGAATTTACAGTACATTCATGGCGCATTTTGTATTTGTGGCATTAGTCTACATATGCATGTTATTCTTTGGCTTGTTTTTTGTCTTCAGTCATTAGTAATGCTGTGCAATACACCATCGCAATACAGCATCTCTGTGTCAATTTCATAGAAAAAGCAGCGTGTGTATTTTTTTAAGGTATTAAAAAAATACCTTTGGGTTTTCTAAATATCAGTGTATACCGTCATGTTGCCCAAGTCTAGATGCTCGCTGAAGTTATAGGTAAAATATTAATTCATAATATGAGAGAACAGCACAAAGTGAACGCATAAAAATTCAACAGCAATGGCGTGTATAATGCTATAATGATTACAGTATTTTAGCAGGCATCAACTTGATCCAAACTAATTAACTGAGAAATCAATTACTTAGACAGCAATGTCAATACACAGAGACGTTTGGCTGACTGACAGATATAGATCTGAGATATTTGGGCCCCCAAAAAAGTGTGGAAGTTATTCTATTGAGGAGAACTAACACAGACTGAAGCTGAACCACAGACAGACATACCTGATTCCAGCTGACCGTTTGACAACTAAGTAGACATCCACTGCATAACAGAAGGTCCACCAGAAGGAGGCACTATAGAACAGCTGGATCCACATCTTCCATTAACAGAAAATATACATTTTAACTGCCTCATTATTGAATATATTGAAATGAAGACTAGGATTCAGACCAGGGCAAGGGCTAAGACTTGGATTCGGGATTAGGGCTAAAACTTGGATTCGGGATTAGGGCTAAGACTTGGATTCGGGATTAGGGCTAAGACTTGGATTCGGGATTAGGGCTAAGACTTGGATTCGGGATTAGGGCTAAGACAGGGACTCAGACAAGTATAGGACAATGACAAGGCTAAAGACAGTAGGACTTGGGCTAAGACTAACTAGGACTGAGACTCATGCACAGATTACGACAAGGCTAAGACTCAGACACAGCCAAGAACTAAGTCTAGGATTGAAATAAGACTATGACGTACCGCACTCCCAACACAGAACACCTTCGGCCAAATGTCAGTGTTTTCTGGCACAGAGATCCTGCTTATGAGCGTAGGCATGCTTATCCAAACAGACGACCTGAAGATGATACCTGCAGAGAGGAGACAACAAGGAAACTGCAGAGCAAAACTGTGCATCCTGGACGCCTCTATCATCAAGCGACACATACCTCCAGGTTAGCATCAATACCAAGAAGCCATGCAAGAGAAATGGATAAATACATCCCTTCTGGCAATCCAAAGCACAACATCTGAAACAACATCCCTTGGTTATTCTTAATCTAGCAACAAGTAAAATCAACAAAACAGATCTTAGCTGCAGCAACATAATATTTGAGAATTGATCTGAGGTCTCTCAACAGCACACTAAAAACTGCAGCCATTCAGGAAACTGCTGCTGTAATAACTTAAAGAATGTACAAAAAAGCTAATTTAAGCCTCTGTGATACTTCAGGAATGCCATAATCATGCCAAGGAAGCCTCTTTATTGGCTTTTGATATGCAATGGAAATATAAAATGGGCAGCTATTAACTTTTTACAGGGATCCCCTTTGTTTTAATGTGCTCCAGATCCGTATGAAATTTATGCCCGCAGTTACCGGGTTCTTGGAAAACCATTGAAGTCTCCGGTTCCCCAAGGACAGTACTTAACGACATGCTTTTTTTTTAATGCTCTACCTTCAAGCCAAAACAGCCATGAAAGAGCCAAAAAAGACACCACTTTAGACTGATTCTAGAATAAGAAAATCCTTTGCAAATAAGAATGGGTGACATATTTTTTTCGGCACTTGATTCATTGGGATAAACCCTGAAGAATGAGAGCACCCCCGCCACTTTAAACATGATACCTTACAGATATCAAAGATTGCCACAAATGCCTTGTTTTTTTAAAGCTGAGGTTTGACATTCAAAATAAACTTCCACAGTTGTGGCTAAAAAGTCTGCATTTTGAGTTTTTAAGAATAAACATAAAGAACTAACAAGAATAAACATGTAACATAGAAAGGCATGAATGCATTGCTTTACAGACGTCTTCAGGACGGGTCGCAGGCATCCATTTCAGAGCCTGATATTTACTTGAAGGAGGTCAGGCTTAGTACCACGCTCAAGGACTTTGCAGCTGGGCCTCTCTGAGAGCCGACCACAAACCTGCCTGTGCACCCAGATTCACCGCATAGCAGACTGAGAAGAACCCCTGACATTCGTCTGAAGCACATCTGGAAGAGCCCCAGACAGCCATAAACTACCCGGCTGCAGGTCACACAGAATGCATGACAGCTCCAAGAACATGAATACTTAAGCAAGGGTTTAATAGTGGGGAATATAACATTTTAGTTTCTATAGTATTCAGTTTTATTATTATTAATGATAATAGTACTGAACTAATTGAACTCCACTGAAAGTTATTATGCTTCAAATATTTTCTGTAAAACTGTAATTGTACTTACTCTATAATAGAGTTGTTAAATTCAAATGTCCAATAATCCCGGCTGAAATCGATTAATGACAAAGATACGTAATTAATTCTGATAATGTTAGAAGCATTGAAAAACTATGATTATTTTAATGTTCTGGTTCATATTCTCACTATGACGGAAGGTCTCTTACCTGCGCATCCCAAGATATCACACACACTGATTATGAAAATTATCCTCGACGACGAGGCCGGCTTAGATAGAGAATATTGACCATACCGCCTATAGCCTCTTCGTTTGGGCAAAACCTGCAGTATGGACAAAACAAGGCTGATGACAGAGCTTCCGATGCAAATGGCACTGAAAAGCATGGAGTGGAAATTGATTATGAATTCGGTGGAGGAATCCCTGTTAGGGCAGCAGAAGTCCTCCAGCCGCGGAGATGCCATTATCTACACAGTCTCAGTAGCTGAATGGGGATCCATTCATTAAACCTATAGCCTGGGTTCCTAGTGAAATCACGGGACAAATCATCATGTGCTTCTTTTTAATCCCCTTCGTCCAGGCTCAACTGCCCTACATCTGCCCCAGTGAAAAACTCCAAACACTGCAGGAAATAAAATATTACCCGTAACTGTCTAATTCTACACATATGGCAAATACAACCACATTAGCTTTTAATGCAATGATAAACATGTTTTGTGCACCTTGACAGTTCAGAGGAACAGTAACTTAGTATCAGAAGCATGAACTTCTTTAACATTTTCCTTTAGTATTCCGCCATCTGGTGGTATGGATAAAATACTACATGACATTTCAAAATTAAAATGTTAATAATCATTATTATATTTACATTGGTATCATGACACACTGGTTCAAATTTGTTTATATATACAAAAAAAACCCCAATAATTTCCCAGAAGAAACTGCAGAAATATATGTTCCTCTGTCACAGGAAACAGGCATATGTTCAAATATAACATTTATAACAGGCAGACAGCAGCCTATATGGTAGAGACACTTTGACAGCACATCATGTAAACAGACAAGATGAGCCCACACAGTTCCTGACAAATTGATTTACTGCAAAACCATCTTCATTATGTTACCAAACAATAACCAAACAATTTAACAATAAAATATTTACTCATTCTGTTTCACACTTGGAGTCATTATTCAGCTTTTTTAATCATTCAGGGAAATTCAAGCAATGAGTTACTTTATGAAAATTTTCTTCTGGAACTTTGCTTGATTTGATTGGTGGTACAGCGATGACTGAGGGCACCTCCATAAGCTGGTATTAGTGGTAACCAGGGTTACCATCGACTTTGTGTCAGAGAGGACACTAACAGGCCCTTAAATATCAAGGCACTGATGTGGTAATGAAGTATTAAGTTCTTGCTGATAGAATAAGAAAACAGAATAAGAGCACAATCACCATGGAAGAGATGCTGTTTCTCACTCTGATGGGCCAGATCTGAACTGTTGGGGCTTAATTCTTCAGTAACATTGCCTTGCGTGTAGTTTTAGAAATCAGACGCTGCTTGAACATGTCCCTTCTGATGAGTCAAGTTAGTGCCGACTGTTAACAATGGCATTCCTTTTTATTGATAAATGTGCATGTGCAGAAATGCGATTAATCAATCACATGTATATAGCATGCAGTCAGTAAAACATGCCGATGTCCGGATATCATCACTGTCAGGAAGTGCTCTAAAGCACAATGCACTCATTGGCCTGCAGTCATTTTTATATTGGCTAGTAATTTGAATTGGATCAACAGGGAGAATAATTGAATCAATTTAAATTCAAAGAAATTCAACACAACATCAGCAGTCATACCACTTGCAGTTCAGAGTAGGTAGTACATCTGAAGTTAAGTAGGTTTGGCCCTGGCTAGTACTTGGAGAGGAGACCAGCTCAGAAAGCTGGCTGCTGCTGGGAGAGGTGTCGGTGTGGCCAACAGGGAAGCCCATCCTGTGGCTTGTGTGCATCCCAGTGCTGTGATGGGAGCACTATGGCCAACAGGGAAGCCCATCCTGTGGCTTGTGTGCATCCCAGTGCTGTGATGGGAGCACTATGGCCAACAGGGAAGCCCATCCTGTGGTCTGTGTGGATCCTAATGCCCCAGTGCAGTGATGGGACACTGTGCTGTAAAAAATGGTGCCATCATTTGGCTGAGATGTAAAACCAGGTGTCCTGACTCTTTAAGGCCATAAAGGATCCCTGGGCATCCTCTGACAGAGTGAGGGTAATACCCTGATCCCCTGGCTAACACTGCTCATTGTAATCCTTTCAAATCTGGCCTCCAATTCATCCCCTATATCTAACTGATGAATTCTCTCCTGCCCCTTTGCCACCTTAGTTACTGTGTGGTGAGCGTACTGGTGCAGAATGGCTCACCTAGGTAGGTGTTACACAGTGGTGGTGGCCGAAATGAAGAAAGAGTGTTAGATTGTTCACCCCACAGCAGGAGACCCACATTGTAAATGTGGTCATTGCAAATAACTGCATCAGACTCAGAGAACTGCAGGACCAAATAATAGCAGAAAACACCATATTCTAAAGCATCAACAGAGTGAGTCTCTCATCTACGGAAACGCAACAGAATTTGCATGAAGGAGCTATACAGAGTCTTTCTTTTTTGAAAGAAACTCAGACCATGTAAAATAGCCGAGATGTGAATATGTACAGGTAAGCTATACTATCCTATTATTGGTATTGTGTCTGGAAGTGTATGATACTACATCATATTGACTGATCCCTGTCTTTTCGGACTGTGCTATACTGTTTTGTCTTGTTCCTTTCAGAGAGTCATGGAGCTAGAAGCAGATGCAGTATATGCTGTGTGGACAAGGCAGGATTCAAACTTGCAAAAACAAGGGGCCTTGGCAGAAACATCACCATTATCAACGTCCCGGAACAACGTGGTGGCAACATAATAATGCATTCTTCACATGATGATGTATGTGTGTTTGCTACATGGATGACAGCACTTTTTTGCAAATCGTCATGCCTTGTGCATAGGAAAAGCTAAAGCCATAAATGTTTTTCATTTATGCTGTTTTGTGTACAAATTTAAATGATGGTTTGACCCAAAAACACAGAGTTTGAAGAGTTTTGCAAGAACTGATTGCTTTTTTCAAGAGATGCATGATATTTTGCTAGTTTGGTGTTAGGTTATAGCCTATAGTTTCAAAGATACTGCCTAAGCAATCAGAAAAAAACATTAAGTAATTCACATGGAAATATTCAGCTGTATTATTGAACACTGCATCTATACTATGTATATGAATTTGTTTGAATTCAATTCCATTTTAATTCTACTTCTTTAAATTTAAATTCGAATTGTAATTGTACATCCTGTTTTCAGCCGTAATTCAAATTCAGTTCAAATTCACAAATTGAATTGGGATTTCAGGGCCATTCTCAATTCAAATATAAATGGTACACAAACCTGCAATGAAGAGCTGACTGGGGCTCATTTTCCAGCTTATGCTACAGCTCAGATGTATCATAAGCCAAGCAGTGTTTACAAAGCACGGGTTCCTCAGGAATTCCACTAATTCTGGGTGGCATTTCATCTGGGAGCCACAAGGGGGCATAAAAACAACACTGCAAAACACCACACCATTTCAATAATCAGATACATACGCTTAAGACAATGCCACTTCTGTATCAATTTGAAAACTACTAATGGGCTCATTTTTAGAAGATAAATAGGTTATAAATGTGTATTTAAACATGGTCTAATATGAAACAGGTACTGAAGCCCCAGAATGTTCAGTAAATGTTCACAGCCTGCATTTTTGGCTAAGGCAAGTAAAAACCAATCAACGTGATGAGAAGATGCTAAATATCTTCAAAAACAGCAATTAAAATTTCTCATTTGCAAGACTATAGTAGTCCTGTAATTTCATTGGGCTTTTTGCATACAGAACAGCTGGTAATCCTGCAATTACTCCCACTTATGCTACGCCAAGGGAAATCAGAATGTAGGCTGTGCTATAGGGTGGGTTTGGACTGAGCCCTCTGAGCGATAAAGTTACATGGAATAGGGTGGATTAAGATGGGCAGAGACCTCCATCACAAAGGCTGCTGTGCTCAGGAACATCACCTTGGCAACCAGCCGTGTAGTTTGCCTGGCCATGATGCCGTCGGGTTCTGATCGCCGCAAGGCAGAGTGAGACTCCAGTAACGTAACATATTGAAACTGAGGAGGTTTTAGGGATGTAGTTTAATGTAGTTTAAATGACCAATCTTGAAGTTATTGAAGTCCTTGTCATACCCAACACTAAACCTTCCCTTAAACTAGCACTCCAGTCCCAGTCCTTCACAAGGCAAAATTCAAGTGCATGATTTAAAAACAAAGCGTTACCAGTTGAACGACTGTTACTTCAGAGTCCTTATATTATCTCTTCTGCGGTATGATGGTAAATTTTGGTGTTGGATTGACACGCTCTTTACACACTGTTTCACATCTACATATACTGTATTATACAATTTCCCATATGTAATGATAATTTTGCAGTTGGCACTTTGTGTATATAATTTGTCTTGTATTTAATCCGTTTATGGTTTGTATTTTGTGTATTCTCTGTATATTGTCTGTCAAACTTGAGAGGGACCATCGGCCGGAACCAAATTCCTTGTGTGACTTAACATATTTAGCCAATACATCTGATTCTGAAGTTTCCATGCTGGATGTTGGGAGAAGGTGGCCAGAGAAGACAAGCTGTAACTAAGACTTAAGTAGGTTGCCCCAGCAAACCAGAGGGAAATCGATAACACACCATCCCAAAATGTGACCTTAGTCCAGAGTGTTGTCAGGAATTTAATCTCTTAACTCAAGAAGCCTCTTATCTTACTCAGCCCACCTCCAACATGCATTCAGGACAAGCTATAGGGAAGCAGCTCTCCTAAAGCACCAGACTATGACACACTGTGCAGAAGTCAGGCATTAAAAAATGAAATTAAACAAATGTCAGGCACAGATCACATATTTTCTCTGAAAATAAGGTGTCAGTTAAGCACTATAGAACTTTATGAGGAAGATCCAAAAGAAACCCAACAAACAAATAAAAGGCATCCCCAGTCTCAGTTTGACTCATCCTATCTGGGATAAGTAATGTGAAAAGAAGCAGCTTGACATGACGGGACACTCCACAGTTTCAGGGCCGCAAGCGGAACGTTGTTCTTACGTTAAGAAGCCCAACCCAATAGCTAGAAGCCTGACTTCCTCTGACAGCTATATAACTGGATAGACCCCTAAACCATGCAAGTTGCTTTGGATGAAAGCGTTGGTAAGCAAATAAATAATCATAGCATAGCATAATCCTAAGAGCAGCAGAGTGACCACGGCAGGGTCTGCATTTGTCAGATACCTGGCCATCTTGCCATGCACCTTCAAAGTCCCGGAATGGGAAAATGGCCCTTTTACCCTAGAAAGCAGCATGGGTAATTGCTTTGGTAATTTTAGATACATAGATTAGATAATTACTGCAAATGCACGTCACTACCCAGAAAGTCAATCCCTGAAAGTCCCCTCAGCTTACGGAGAACAGCCTTCGCACTCCTGTGATTTCTTTCAGCCTTGTTCACCAGTCAAATTCAAAATAACCTGTGAAACATACTTCATCCCCAACACTGAATCTAAAGCCCCATATGGTTGAAAATTACCCATCAAATTAGTATGATTTTGACTAGATAACAGGCAAAATTAAGTGTAAAGTAACCGTATGTAAAATCAAACCCTTTTTATCTAAGCCACACGTAAATAAAAATGTATTTATTTCTCGGATTTAGAGGAAATACTGTACATCATTTCAGAGGAAATGATTACTTTTTATGGCAATAAATAATGGCATGATTTTATGGTAATTAATAAAAATACATTGTTTTCTTTCAAGTCCTGAATGTCAGACTCTGAGACGGAGAGGGGTCTCCACAGGAAGGTACGTCTTTCCTTTGCCTTCACCACAGGAAACGGAAGTTGGCTGCTACAAGTTACTCTCTACATCTCATGAGAGGATCTTTTCCGGCTAGGGGGAAGCCTGGGGGAGAGAATTCTAGAAGGGGATGCAGGTCAGGGTGTCCTTTCTCCAGTGTACAACATGTAAAAGGTAGAGAAGCAGACGGCCGTCAAGAAGGACACCAGAATCATCAGAACCTTCTGGAGCCACAGGCACTGGTCAAGCTTCTGCTCCAGCCTGGAATTACTGGCAATGGCCCGCATGAGCTGGGTAGAAATCACAGTTAAATCATTTCAATCACTGAGGTCAATTCGCCACATTGTCTCTTCTTTAACGTCTGGTTGAAGCAGAAACAAAAGCAGATTTAATCGATATCTCACCGTGCTGTGTAGGTCCGGCTGCCCATTAGTCCCAGAACCAAGAGGGGTGCTGTCGCTTAAAATGCCCAGAACAGGATTGTTTATCTCAAAAGTGTGGCATCGTAACCTAAGACAAAATAGTATTTTCATTAGAGGGGGGAAACCTGAAAAGCGAAGTAGGTCTAGTCATAGTGAAAGCAAAGGCCCTCGCTGGCAGTGGGGGAAGCGTTTCACGAGCAGTGCAGTGCATTTCTGATCAAGCCCCTACACAGAAACCACTGATGGGGAAGGAGGCAGGGCGTTAGAGGAAAGCGCTTGGAACCGATGGAGGCCTGAGAAATGACAGCCGGACATGGGAATGTCACCAAGGCTGCGGTGTGAGCCGTCACGATGACAAAGGATGACACGCTTGAACGTCACCAAATGACTGACGTCTGAGATGCGCCGCGGGCAAGCTGCCTGCAGCAGACACTGCAGCAGACACTGCAGCAGACACTGCAGCAGACACTGCAGCAGACACTGGGCGTCCCCAGGGAGTACCAGCACCTTTAGAGTCTGTGACTCCAGATTTCAGACCATCATAAGGAGGTTATACTAAAGGGAAACCCTCCAAAAAGCATTCCAAGGTGTTTCTAAGTCAAGAGTCTTTAATGGCGCTATAACTGGGAAACAGGCTATATCCATCCAACTCTCCATCCATCCATCCATCCATGGTCCCTTATCCAGCACAAAGTCACAGTCAGCCTGCAGTCTATCCCAGGAGCATGAGGCAGGGGATTCCTTGGACACGATGCTTGCGATAGATTATTTATGAAAATGAAGGCTGCACGATATATGGTGTGAATGCACAATAATCACTTTGCATTTGTGTCTGTGGACAATGCGCAGCAACGCCACCAACCTGACACACACTACTGGCAGATAAGTTCTATTTGTATATAGTTTAATTTTGGTAATTTCATCTCCATTTTTGTTTGATAAATATCACAGTGTTACTCATGGACATTTTACATATCACGATGTGATATCGTACAGCCCTCATGAAAATTGAAAAAATTACTGAAAAGGTTCTTCAGTAAAGTCTGGTTTTAATATGGGGTGGGATGGTCAGTGCAGCCTCACTCCTCCAGGCCTGGGGTTTGAATCCCACCTCTGCTTCATGCAGGTGGGAACACCACTGACCAAAGATACGCAGTCCTGCTAACTGATGTCTCTAAATGGCCTGTAGTGTGCGAGTGTGTGTGTGTCCTGCATGACTGACACATCCTGCCTGGGGTTAGCTCTAAGCAACCCTGCCCCCACACCCCAACCAAGATAAGAGGGTGGACAGATGAAGTTGAGTGTAAGATCCCTAGTTTACCTATGTTCCATTATCTTGCTTCTCGGAACTTCTTTCCAGAACTGAGAAAGCTCTGGAGGAGTAGCTCCAGAGTTGAGCTCCATCTCTGCAGCCATGACCAAGAAGCGGTCCTGGGGAGACGCCTGGTAGCCTGCAGGGTGACAATGAGGCCAATCAGAGTGTGGCAGACTCACAGAGCCAGCAGAAGTCACAGCGAGAAAAGTCACAGCGAGAAAAGTCACAGCGAGAAAAGTCACAGCGAGAAAAGTCACAGCGAGAAAAGGCCCAAAGGAAACATCAGGCCGCAAAAAAACAACTAATGAAAGGAGGGAAGTGGATGCAATTGAAATGATGTTCAAAACCACATGCTAAACGATCATCTGCTGATGCCCATCTAAACGATGCTGGTCTCAAATAGTCAAACGCAGCTTCAGCCTTCAGAAAAAGTTTTACTGTGGTTAGGCCATTTATTAATGTTTCAAAGGACACAACTTGAGGGACGATTATATTGTCACCCTTAAAATATGCATGTCAGAAAAAAGGAAGTGGGACTTTCCACAAAGGTTCCTCTTTCTGCGGGTTCTGTTGTGAAACAGCATAGCTCACAGATGAGTGCACAAGGCTCACTGCTGCCCCCTACCTCCATGTAGAGATACTATGATGTCTACAGAGGCTCCTGGCTCGCACGAGGAGTTGCTGGGCTTCACTCGGTATTTTTCTGGTGCCGTCGTCCGCACCTTCAGGAATGGAAATAAGAATTTACGAGTCTGTGAAAGTGTTTTGGAAAATATGACAGGAGTCACACTCAGGGGCAGATTTCTCAGAATAAACAGGGATAATATTTTCGGATCAGGAGTTAGCAGCTTGGACTCCTGCTCCAAAAAGCAACTTCACAGGTACATGAATATCTACAAGCCTAATATATTTGGTAGGAGGGTCAATAACCAGGTTTCAGCCAAAATGGATGATATTTATTGAAACCAATAGTATGAGATACATGTGCAAATGATGTGTCTCATTGGTCACTCTAATGGTTGTAATTAACAGAGCTCCTCACAGGAATTTACCTTTTATATATATATATATATATATATATATATATATATATATATATATATATATATATATATATATATATA